AAATATTATGTAGTGGTAAAAAAAAATATTAAAATTCTTAATTTTCATCATTTATTTGGTAGTACAAAATTTATCATAAGTGTCTGAATAATATTTGGTAGTACAAAATTTATCAAAAGCTCCTGAAGATCTAACTGTTTGTCTAGAAGACACATGACACGAGTAGTGTCGGATAAGTAGTCGCAGTAAACCAGAAATTTACTGATACAAAAGTAGCCATAGTAAATCAGAAGTTTACTGATGCAAAAGTTTATGCCATAGTAAACCAGAAGTTTACTTAGAGATAGCACATGTCATGATAAACTTGAAGTTTTTATTTGTCATTTTTAAATGAGCTATTTGAGAATTCAGATAAGCATATATTGAAGAACTAGAAGATTCTTCAAGAATTCTCTTGTGTTGCTTGTTCTCATAATAAATTGATTATACCAACTAAAGTTGGGACTAAGACCCCTAAATTATGAAATATATAAAAGGTGAATATGAGCCCATTCACCTATCATGTGAACCACTGATTAGATGCATATATGAGATGGTTACATGTGTGTTTATTGTCAACTTGCAGTTTGCCATTTGAAATTGCTTTTCTCAATTAAGAGCATAATTTTCAGATTATGAAATTAAGATAGTTCATCTTGATGATGTTGGTTTATATCCAAGCTAGTTTAGCATTGAATACCTCCTATTAATAGCTAAATTATTACTTATGAGAACAAAGCCTCATATGTAGGTCTAAGAGTTTTCTAAATTGCATACATCAGCACTTGTATGCATCAGACCAACAAAATATGATAAGTTCTCCCCTCACAATTGGTTTAGGATCATAAACCAAATATTTTTACTATCTAATAACTTTTGATGTGTGGTGTATGATTAATTTCTCTACCACAATGCACAAAAGATAGGTTTTCCAAAGAAAATTGGGGATATGTGTTAGTTTTTCTAACATTTGGGGATAAAATAAACAGCTAGAAAATATGCTATATGAATCGAATTATCATTAATATGATCCTCACTTAGAAGATAATTCAAGTCAAATTCCAGAAGCATTTGCTGATCCAAAATTAAATATCATATTTCAGCTGCAAATACTCATATTAAAATTAAAATCCTTGAAGGATAAAGTTTACTGCACGCATGAAGCGTAGTAAACCGATCGGTTCCAAAGGTAATAATCCTTGAAATATGATAGGAGCAAATGATCATAATGAGGAGGAAATGAGCTCTAGAAGAGCCCATGACATAACATTTCATGAAACTCCAGAAGAAGTTCAGGTACCTGAAAATAAGGAAAGCGATGAGATCTCAACAAGTTATGTCGCTTAGGAACCGATACAAAATGATCATCGACGATATATTTGATACAATATAGTTCACAATATTGTAAAAGATTGTGAGGATCAGATCTGTAGTCTAAACACCTGAAGATGTCATGCCATCTAAATGCAAGTCATAACCTATTTGACTCATTTGATTAAGTCTATATGAAGATCCCTGAAGGATTTAAAATGCCTGAAGCATATAGTTCAAAGCATCGTGAAATGTATTCAATCAGATTACAAAGATCTTTGTACGGTTTAAATCAATCTGGGCGCATGTGATATAATCGCCTCACTGAATTGATGAATGAATGTTATGTAAATGATGGCATTCGTCCATACATTTTTACAAAGAAAACAACATCATAGTTTGTTATACTTGTTGTTTATGTTAATGGCATAAATCTCATAGGAACTCCAGAAGAGCTCCAAAGGGAAAAACTTTGTCTAAGTCTGCAAATTGAATATTTAGCAGACGGGATCTTAATCCATCAATCTGTCTATAAATAAAAGGTCTTAAAACGCTTTTACATGGACAAAGCACACCCATTAAGTACACCAAATGGGTGATCGATCACATGAAGTCAATAAAGATCTGTTCCGACCTCTAGAAGAGGATGAGGAACTCCTTGGTCCTGAAATACTCTATCTCAGTACAATTGGTGCACTTATGTATCTTGCTAATGCTAACAAAGGTGGTGCAGATCATATTGGTTGTGCAGATGCAAGTTATTTATCTGATCCCCATAAAGTTTGTTCTCAAATAGGGTATGTGTTTACATGTGGAGGTACTGTCATATCATGACGCTTCATAAAGCAATCTATTCCCGCTACTTCTTCAAATCATGCTGAGATAATAGTTATTCATGAAGCAAGTAGGGAATGCGTATGGTTGAGATCTGTGATTCATTTTATTCAAGAAAAATATGGGATGGAATGTGATAAAAAAAAACCACAATATTATACGAAGACAATGCTACATGCATAGCCCAATTAAAGAGATGATTTATAAAAGGAGACAGAACGAAGTACATTTCACCAAAATTATTCTACACACATGATCTTCAGAAAAATGGTGACATCGATGTGCAACAAATCCGTTCAAGTGACAATCCAGCAGATTTGTTTTGCCAACTTCAACTTTTGAGAATATGGTATACAAGATTGGAATGCGGAGACTCAAATATTTGGAACAAGGTTTTCATCAGGGGGAGTGAAATACGTGTTGTACTATCGGATTATCGGGGTAATGGATGGTGAATGGATTGAGATTTTATAATTAACGGCTTAACGGTTTGGGGGCTGATTACTCAATTTTCTTATCGGGTAAACCGTTAAGAATTTTTATATTTACACTTTTACTTTATGTATATAAACTTGTTACTACATTGTTGCATAAGTAGTTGTACATAGAATGATAGAATTGTTTGTAGCTAATGACAGTTGTGGCTTCTCATAAATTATGAGTGGACATGAATTGAATTCCTCTCCGGGCCATTTTACTTAAGTCGTGGCTTCTCATTACTTCACTTACAATTATAGTTTGATGTTTGTCAGTAAATGGGGGTTTTCTAATTGTTTTGTGGATAACAATGCTAATGGTATTGATTGTTCAAATATTAACAGAGACATTTTGAACTATGCATTTGGCCGTTTGATATTGATTGTTTAAAAAAAATTTATTTGGTTTAACCGATAAACCGACCGATAATCGTTAATCTGATACAAATCCGCCCATTGTCTTATTGGATGGCTAGCAGATTACTATATTTATAATCCGATAATCGATAAGCCAAACCGTTAATCGTAATTATCCGCCCAATCCGCCCGATAAGCATCCCTACACCAAACTACAATGAGGGACAAAGTTATTTTGTAAAAGAGACTAATTTAAAATTTCATTTCCCTCCATTTCTTTTTTCACCATTCTTCATTCACACCTCTTTTGGGTTAATTAACAAAACCCAACAAATCTCACTTTTCTATACATGCCAACTGACTTCAAACAATATTTTAGGACATGCCCTAAAATTCTTACAATAATTTATCACCCTTCCATGTATATATAAAGTAGGGAAAAGGCCCAAAAATAACCTTTCTGGTATTCAAAATGGATCAATTATAACCTCCGTTTAAACTTGAGTCCAAAAATGACTTTGTCGTTATAGAATAGGTCTAATAATGCCCTTGTGTTATTCGGAATGGATCAATTATAACCCTCGTTTAAATTTGAGCTCACCAATGACCTTGCCATTAAAGAATGGGTCTAATACTGCCATTAAAAAATATTGAACCGTACCGAATAAATTTACATGTGAATATATGATTCACATGTAAATATATTCGAACCGTACCGAATAAATTTACATGTGAATATATGTTTCACATGTAAATATATCAGACCTGTTATTAGACCAAGTATAAATATATGTTTTACATGTAAATTTATTCGGTACGGTTCGATATTTATATATTAAGTTTAAAAATAATAATGGGTCTAATATTTATAAAGAATGGGTCGAATAAGTTTAAAATTTGAGCTCACTAATGACCATTTCGTTAAAGAATGAGTCTAATATTTATATTTGTAAATAATAATGTATTAATATAAATAATGTACACATTTTAATACATTATTATTTTTAAACTTAATATATAAATATATGTTTCAAATGTAAATTTATTCGGTACGCTTCGATATTTTTTCGGTTTATTTTTATAAAATAAAAAACCTACCCTAATTATCGGTACGGTTATAGATTTATATAAAAACCTACGGTTTATTAAAAGAAACCTAAAAATTGGTTCGACACGGTTCTGTTGGTTTTTAAATATCCATTTTATACCCCCTAATCATTACTAGCTGAGAGAAATAGCAGTATTAGACCCATTCTTTAATGACATGGTCATTGGTGGGCTCAAATTTAAACGAGGTTATAATTGATCCATTTCGAATAACACAAGGGCATTATTAGACCCATTCTATAACGACAAGGTCATTTTTGGACTCAAGTTTAAACGAATGTTATAATTGATCCATTTCGAATATCACAAGGTCATTTTTGGCCCTTTTCCCTATAAAGTATTATCGTTAAGAAAACAACCCAACCAACTCCAACTGATAAATTCATTTCCTAATATATACACATATTTTTAAGGGACTTTTTCCTATAAAGGTTTTCAGCTTCACTATAGTTTAAGCTTATAATATATATTTTTTCGGCTATTATCTTGAAAGTGACTATATAATGTCATTTTTCCTATTACTTACTAACCCTCCATCCCGCGATGGTGTTCAAACTTCAAGAATCAAATAATTGTTTTTAAATCGTAACTTTTTTATATGTATTTTAAATATTTTGAATTATTAATAATTATGACTTAATTATAATACTGGTTTTTAAATATGCAAGTTTTATTTTAAAAAATTAAAATATTCTATCTGCCAATACACAATCAAAATTAATAAGTTTGAATCTCAAAAAGTAAAAGTGTTGTATAACTCGGGGCGACTAGATTACTAATTAAGTACTATCCATAAATCAAGATTAGTGACGTTATCTTCGAACATTTTTACGTATTCTTTCATAATAAAAATTGTGATATAAGTACTCTTCTACATAGTTTTTAAAATATTTAAAATCAAGCAATGAATTCAGGAATCAATATCTAAAATACCACTTTGGGGCATAGAAATATTTTCTTTTCTTTTCCTGTATATATATATAAATTGTTTCCCTACAACAACTACAGGTGTAGCCCTAATTAGCAACGGAAGCGCCCAAATCAGACTTACAGTTGTTAGTTTTGAACTGGTAAAGAACTGTCCCTCTGCTTTCCCTCTCACAGTATTCTCTGAAGTTGTCAGTACGAAACCCTAAAACTTCTACGTAATTGTATAATTTCATTTCCAAGTTTTGAATTTTCTTTAGATAATTGTAAAAAAGTTCACCACTTTTAGCTTATTATGTGCTGATATGTAATTTCTCATATTATTGTTCTGATATTAGTGTGTGGGTGTAGTTTTGTAGTTGCAATTAATTTAGCAATTTGAGTGTCTAAATTTCTTGCTTGAGATTTCCTAAAGTGGTTTTAGTGTTGGTAATGCAGATAATTCTGTTAGGAAGCTTATCTTGTTAGAGGAAATTATGATGGAAATCAATTCAGAAGTAAAAGAAAGCTCCTTAATTTTGATTAAGCAAGGTGCCGAGGCTGTAAGTTACCTGTTGCTGTTCTATTTGGTTTCCTACGAGCTAATTTATCATTTAATTGCTGAAACAATAGTTATTTTGGTTATTGGATTTTGAGTAGCATCAAGAGCAGAATTATTTTTACGACTGAGAAATCCCCTAAGATAGCGGCGCACGGTTCGGAACTGAGTGGATACCATACCTGCCCCTTTACCTTCCCCACTTAAATACCAAGCTTTTGTCTGCCACAAGAGTTCGAACCGTTGAAGTGAAGTGTGCCTAACCTACACATCATGGGTTGTGCTTTCACCACTTAGCGATTGTCATGAGGCGCATCAATAATAGAATATAGTAGTCTGGAGGCACCGATTTGAGCTGTTTATTTTTGTTGTTTACTATGTGAATCTTCTAAATATCTTATGCATCTTTTCTGCTTTTCGCTCTTTTTCTTCAGAGAGTCTTTGAGACATCTTTTGTGGGAAAGAGGTGTATAGTTAAGGAACGGTTCTCAAAAAAATATAGGCATCCAATTTTGGACACAAAGCTCACTCTCAAACGATTAAATGCGGTTAGTTGAGCCAGAAATTGTCAATTCCTTATTTCATGAATTTTGACCAGTATAGTTGGATGACTTTAAGATGTGTTAATGCTGGAGCAGGAGGCCCGATGCATGACTAAAGCTAGGAAGCTAGGGGTTTTAACTCCAGTTCTTTATGCTGTTGATGCTATATCGCATTCTCTGACATTTGAATATGTGGAAGGCCCTTCGGTCAAGGACGTACTTCTCGATTTTGGATTACATGGTATAGTTGAAGAAAGAATGAATGACATTGCGATTCAGATTGGTCGTGCAATTGGCAAGCTCCATGATGGTGGCCTTGTTCATGGCGATTTGACCACATCAAACATGTTAATCCGCAGGGATACCAATCGATTGGTAGGTGTTTTTAAAGGTCGAATCTGAGTCTTTGTGGGTCTATTGGGTAGTGTATACTACATGGGAAGCTCTGTTACAGTTTGTTTCCCTTTCATTTTTTTTTCCCCCCTATATTTCTTGGAATCACATGTGTCTGAATACAGAGTAGAATAGATAAGAAGTATTCATATAGCGTGCTCTAAACAGTTTGGAATTGAGACTTAGTTCACATATTGATTATTCATTGATTGGTTGGTTCTTAACCTGTATATTGCTAAACCAGTGGTAATCAGTAGCACTGTGTTTCAACAGGTATTGATTGATTTTGGTCTGAGCTTTACATCAACCCTTCCAGAAGATAAAGCAGTAGATTTATATGTACTTGAACGAGCGTTGCTTTCTATGCACTCTTCATGCGGAAATGTGGTAAGTACAGTCAGTAGTTCTTACTTTTTCACCGAACCGAGGCATTAAGTGTTCGTTTTGCTTTGCCCCCAGGGCCTAGCTCAAGTGGCAAAGGGTGGTGGATTTGTGTCTTAGGTCACAGGTTCAAGCCCTCACACCATGCAAAGCAAAGCCTGATATTTAAGTGGAGAAGGGTAGAGGGGCGGGCCTATTATCCACCGAGTTTCGAAGGCTGCGGTTGGTCCAAAGGATCGACCCCAGACGGATTTCTCGGTCATCAAAAAAAAGAGTGTTTGTTTTGCTTTCCTTTTTCTTTCTCATGGCTGATAAACATGACCCTCCCTACTCCCGAACCCGCCCCGCCCCACATGCACACACAAGAAATATCGAAATAGTTTTCCACCCATAATCAGTGTCTTATGCAGGTGGATGTAATCTTGTAATGATCTGCATTTTGTAGATGGATAAGATACTTGCTGCATACAGGAAATCCTCCAAACAGTGGTGCTCAACATTGAATAAGCTTGCCCAAGGTGTGTACTCTACAATTTGGTAGTTAAGTTCCCTTGGATCTTCTAGAGTTGGCAATAGTTTGATGTTTACATTTATGCTATACTGACTTCTTGTCTTTTTAAATTACAACTTTTAGTGCGACAAAGAGGTAGAAAGCGTACCATGGTTGGATGAGCTGTCTCAACAATCTACTCCATATATAGGTAGGATGAATTGTTGTGGATAGTGTTAATGGAATGTGTTTAGCATACACTGGTGTACTTGTGATATATTTCTCAGTTAAAACCTCTATTATTTATGCATTAGCTTTCTTTCATTTAATCTTCTTGGCAGAGAGGACCTGAGGTTGATATACAAGCTTTACAAAAGTATTCTAAGACGTAAAGTTGTGAACAAGAGCTGCTTATGATATATATCCTGGCTTAGATTATCAATCGACATGATCTTTCTGATACTCTTTCCATGTCTTTTGCTTGATGTTTGAGCTAAAAAGCTCTATATAAACCAGTCTTATTGAAGTTTCATAGATTAACTAAAATACTTAAAGATTGGGTGCAGCATTAAAACCTCAAATAATTTTTCCACTTGAAGTTACCTCCTAATTGTTGTTCAATAGCAGCTCTACCTTTCAAAGATCTACAATGACCTCTTCGATATAGTTCTATAGTTGTTCAATTGCAATTTGTTGGTTAGGCTGTTGCGTACTTTAGTACCTCTATATTGATTCTACAGCTACCCCGAGCATTGCTGGGCAGGAAAACAATTATGTTGCTGGATATTGACAGGAATATGAAAGACATTTATGTTATGGTTGAGCAGTGATGCAGCTTTGGTGATGAAATATTTGGATGTATCCCGTTATGCATTAGTTATTACTATTATTCTGATATTTTATATACAGTGAAGAGGGATCCTTTTTTAAGTGTGTGTCTCAATTATAACGGTGATTAAATTCAGTTTAAACTGGTGCAAATTTCACTATTATTAGCAACTTGTTTCAGATAATGAGCTATATTGTCTTCTAAATTGTAATATCAACTTATTTTGCAGTTTTGACGGATTAATTCTTCTAATTCCTTATCCACAGTAACACTATAAAGACTTGTTTATGTCCAATATCGTTTTTAATTTGAATATACATAATAACATATAAAGAAATTGTACTCACAAACAAGTTGCTATTAGTTGATTTAGCTTTACTTGGATTTTGGTCAAATTCAATCTATTCTGCCAACTTATACAAGTTTGCTAACACTATAAAACTTGCGTATGAGGAAATTTCTTGTGCTTGTATATGGAAGCACTTCTTCAAACTTTTAAAGAGTTGAGAAGAAAGCATGCCTCGCGCCGTCGTTGTCGCTCACTCGGCTTTGGCTTCGCGGCATCCAACGGTCCAATTCGCGACCAAATATTAGAAATTCAAATTTTTTGCTGAATAAAAACCTTATCAAATGAACAAGCACCTTTGCACCTGTTGGGACTCAACTTTATTGCCTATAAATAGAGAGGTTCAGCCTTATTTTTCACCACCGAATCTGAAAATCTATTCCCTCTCTTCTGCATTCTGCATTGATTTTCAAAGCAAAACGTAAGCATTTTGTGTGATTTGCTTCGCCATTTGAGTTCACCGAAATTCTGTGATTTGAAGTGCCGCTATCACAGAATTGTTATTCCGTTCTATCCAGGGAGGAATTAATCTGAAACCTTGGGCAATTGTGAGGGGATTAAATTCCTTAAGGACAAACAAGAAATTTGTGGGCTCGAAATTTAATGTTTTTTTTGTTTTCTTAAACTAACGTATTTTGATTTTCTGGTTTTGAATACAGAATACTAATAAGCTTAAGGAATTTATTATATATTTCTGTGTTCATCTTACATTCTGGTTTGGGAGACTAAAATCCTAGCGATTTTCTACTCCCGTTTTGGAGATTAAAATCTTCGAATTTTCTACTCCAGTTTGAGATTAAAGTCTTTGTGTCTTTATACTCAATCCGAGATTAAAATCCTTGTGATTTTCTACTCGGTTATTTGTATTCGGTTTGAAGATATAAAAACTTGACCGACTTACTAACTCTGGTTGTGTTAATTTCTTTTACAGAAAAATGACACAAGTACGGAACAACAAATGGTTCTGTTGGGACTACTACTGCTGCTATGGCTACCGCGTCTTCAAGTCGCACGGTGCCTACACCGGTGATGGCACCGGCAGAAAAGCCCGAAAAATTTTTCGGCGTGGGCTTCAAGCGCTGGCAGTAGAAAATATTTTTCTACCTGACCACACTCAGTTTGCAGCGCTTTATCAGTAAGGACGTTCTAGTTTTGGGAGAAGAAACTCCGGATAGTGAGCAGTTTGTGGTCACGGAGGCATGGAAGCATTCTGACTTCTTGTGCAAAAATTATATCTTGAGTTGTTTGGAGCATGACTTGTACAACGTTTACAGTATCATGGAAACTTTGAAAGAGTTGTGGAACGCTCTTGAAAAGAAGTACACGACGGAAGATGATCGACTTAAGAAGTTTGTTGCCGCAAAGTTCTTGAATTTTAAAATGGTTGACAATAAGTCTATCATAACTCAAGTTCAAGAAGTGCAAGTCATCGTTCATGACCTCCTTGCCGAAGGTATAAATCGAATCAATATATTTATTAAAGATATTAATTATATTATTGATTCTAAATTTCTGATTGTAGATATGGTCATAAATGAGCGTTTCAAGTTACGACATTTATTGAAAAGTTGCCTCCAATGCGAAAGGACTTTAAAAACTACTTGAAATATAAGCGCAAGGAGATGACGTTGGAAGACCTTATTGTTCGCCTAAGGGTTGAAGAGGGAAACAAGGCTGCAGAAAATAAGTCTCGTGAAAACTCAATAATAATGGGAGCAAATATTGTAGAGGAAGATTCAACGAGCAAAAAGAGAAAGAACCTTCCGGACCAAAGAATTACCCAAGTAAAAAGAAGTTCAAAGGTAATTGCCACAATTGTGGAAAGATTGGACACACGGTTGCTGACTGCCGTGCACCAAAGAAGGACAAAAAGAAAAGCCAAGCAAACATGATTGGAAAGAATGATGAAATAGACGATTTGTGTACCATGCTTTCTGGATGCAACCTAGTCGGAAATCCTAGAGAATGGTGGATTGATTCTGGGGCAACTCGTCATGTTTGTGCTAATAAGGAATTATTTACTTCGTATGCTCCCTCTTGACCCGACGAGACAATTTTTATGGCAAATTTCGCTACTGCAAAAATTGAAGGAACAAGCAAGATAACTTTGAAGACGACTTGTCGCAAGATTGTGACTCCAAACAATGTCCTTCATGTTCCTGAAATGCGGAAGAATTTAGTCTTGACATCACTTCTAGTCAATAACGACTTTAAGTGAGTTTTTATTTCTGACAAGGTTGTAGTTAGTAAGAATGAAATGTATGTAGAAAAAATATTACCTTACTGAGGGCCTTTTCAAACTCAATGTAATTGCCATTGATATGAATAAAATTTCAGCTTCTTTTTACTTGCTTGAGTTAAATAATTTATGGAAACGTCAACTTTAAAACTTTGCGAAAAATAATTAATTTGGAAGTATTTCCTAAGTTTGAATGCAATAACTCGAAATATCAAATATGTGCGGAGTCAAAGTATGTTAAACATCCTTAGTTAAAAGGAATTCAAATACTTTAGTCTTAATTCACACAGATATTTGCAACATGAAGTCAATACTATCTCGTGGTGGGAAAAAGTATTTTATAACTTTTATTGACGATAGTACTAGATATTGCTATATTTACTTACTTAATAGTAAAGATGAAGCAATTGATGCATTCAAGCAATACAAAAGTGAAGTTGAAACGCAACTAAACAAAAAGATCAAACTGATAAGAAGTGATATGGGTGGCGAATATGAATCTACTTTTGAAGAAATATGTTTGGAATATGACATTATTCACCAAACGACTGCCCCTTACTCACCGCAATCAAATTGAATTGCAGAAAGAAAGAATAAAACGTTAAAGGAGATGATGAATGCCTTATTAATAAGTTCTGGTTTACTTCATAACTTGTGGGGGGAAGCTATTCTTACAGCTAACCGAATACTCAATCGAGTTCCCCATAGCAAAACTCAATCCATTCCATACGAAAAATGAAAAGGAAGGAAACCCAACTTAAAATATTTTGAAGTATGGGGGTGTTTGGCTAAAGTGCAAGTCCCTAAACCCAAAAGGGTAAAGATTAGACAAAAAATAATTGATTGCGTTTTCATAGGATATGCAACAAATAACAAGGTATATCGCTATCTGGTTCATAAATTAGAAAATCCCGACATTCATATTAATACGGTAATCGAATCAGATAATGCTAAATTCTTTGAGAATATTTATTCATATAAAAAGGAATGTGAGTCGTCTAGTGAAAAATTTAAGCGACCTCGAGAAGAAGCAAATGAAAGTACCTTTACTGAAGAAAATCCCAAACGTAGTAAACATCATAGGACAACTACTTCCTTTGGACCAGATTTTCCGACATTCTTGTTGGAAAATGAGTCTCAAACGTTCAAAGAAGCAATGTCTTCCTCGGAAGCACAATATTGGAAAAAGGCAGTCAATAGTGAGATAAAATCCATATTAAGTAATCATACTTGGAAATTGATTGATCTTCCTCCGGGAAATAAACCTTTGGGTTCTAAGTGAATTTTCAAAAGGAAAATGAAAGCTGATGGTATTATTGACAAATATAAGGCAAGATTAATTGTTAAAGGGTTTAGACAACGAGAAAGCCTTGACTACTTTGACACATACTCGCCGGTAACGACGATTATATCTATCCAGGTGTTAATAACGTTAGCTGCCGTGTATGGCCTTTAAATCCATCAGATGGATATGAAGACAACCTTCTTAAATAAAGATTTGGAAGAAGAAATTTATATGGAACAACCTGAAGGGTTTGTAGTTCCCGTAAAAGAAAAAAAGGTGTGTCGGCTTGTTAAGCTACTTTACGGACTAAAACAAGTACGAAAATAATGGCATGCGAAATTTGACCAAAAAATATTGTCAAATGGTTTCAAGATCAATGAGTGTGACAAATGTGTTTACATTAAGAATACTCCAAATCAAATTGTCAATTATGTGGATGATATGTTGATAATGAGTAACGACATTGCTAACATAAATGCTACTAAGCGCATGCTTACTAGTAAGTTTGATATGAAGGACTTAGAGTTGCCGATTTACTTTTGAGAATTAAGATCCTTAAGACTCCTCAAGGTGTAGCCTCGTCTCAATCTCATTATATTAAAATGGTACTTGAAAAGGTCAAATATTTTGACTTTAAAGTTGCAAGAACACCAATTGATTTAAACCATGCTTTTGTAAAGAATAAAGGTCAAGGCAAGTCTCAATTGAAATATGTCCGAGTACACGACCTGATATAGCTTGTGCTATAAGTAAGCTTAGTCGATATACCAGTAATCCCGACCAAGCTCATTAGATAGCAACGAAATGAGTTTTGAGTTATTTGAAATATACCCAAGACTATGCATTGCATTACAATAATTATCCCGCAATTATTGAGGGATATAGTGATGCAAATTAGATCACCGATCAACAGAATAAAAATTCACAAGTGGATACGTTTTTACCATTGGTGGAGGAGCAGCGTCTTAGAATTCGTTCACACAGACATGTATCTCCCGCTCTACAATGGAGTCTGAGTTTATAGCTTTAGACAAGGCCGATGAAGAAGTTGAATGGTTCCGAAATTTCTTGGAAGATATTCCATTTTGACCCAAATCTTTGGCACCTATATGCATACATTGCGACAATCAAGAGGCAATAGGAAGGGCTGGGAGCATTATGTATAACGAAAAATCTCGTCACATACGACGAAGACACAATACCGTTAGACAACTACTCTATAGTGGAATTATTACTATTTATTATGTAAAGTCAAAAGATAATGTATCGGATCTGCTCACAAAAGGCCTAACTAGAGAGGCGGTTGAGAAGTCATCAAAGGGAATGAGACTATGGCTGAGGACAAGTCACTGTGGAGGTAACTCTACCTAGAAGACTAGAAATCCCAAGATCTAGGTTCAAGGAGATCAAAAAAAGTTATTAGTGACAGTTCAACATTGTCAAATAAAATTTTGGTCCATTCTCACGATGAAGACAATGTTCAATAACAAGGATAAAGCGTTAAGGCTTTTTAATAGTTTCTAAATTTGATACGGGGTATATCAAAGAGTGTATCTACGGGATAACACGTTTAGGAATCATCTATGTAAGTGTGAAGTGATAGGCACTTCAAGGAGAATTTTGCAAGGCCAGTTCTCTAGGTACTTATGAAACCAGGCGGTATTCATGGATGAAACGAACACAACAATAAGAACCAAAGACGGTTAAGGGTTGATTGTGTGACTTATGGTTGAGTAGGTATACACCAAAGTTCGACGATTCACAGATATCTAATCTACCGATTGATCGAGTATATTCGACATATGTTCACTACAGAAAGTTCAAAGGGAAGCCTACTTATCTAGATGCGATTAATCCTTTCTTGCGAATCACACAATTTTTTCATGCATATTTTTTCGGATAGCCATTCCCCATTCATGTGGGGGATTGTTGGGATTTATTAATTAAAACAAAAGAGATATGAATAGAAAATAGTGGGAAAAGAAATGGAGGAAAATAAAATTTTGAATTAGTCTCTTTTACAAAAGAACTTTGTCCCTCGTTGGATAGGAAGAGGATGAAGCACTTCTTCTAGCCCTTAAAGAGTCGAGAAGAAAGCCAACCTCGCGCAATCGTCGTCGTCGTCGCTCGGCTCGGCTTCGGCTTTGGATTCGTATGCGGATTCGATCAATTGATTGATAATATTTTGGACCAAATTTATTTTCCTTTTTCGTCATTTAATATTTTTTTTTCTAATATTTTTGTTCGAAAATTACCCTCTTTGGTGGGATGGATTGTTCTTTATCCAAAGATATAGAGAGTGCATAGTAGGCGACCTGCTGAAAAATAAGGTAAAATAAAGGCTCCTCTCTTTTCGAGAATCCATACATCCCTTATCAGTGTATGGACAACTATCTCTCGAGCACAGGTTTAGGTTTGGCCTCAATGGGAAAATAAAATAGAGCACCTAACAACGCATCTTCACAGACCAAGAACTACGAGATCACCCCTTTCATTCTGGGGTGACAGAGGGATCGTACCATTCGAGCCATTTTTTTCTTGACTCGAAATGGGAGCATGTTTGAAAAAGGATCTTAGAGTGTCTAGGGTTGGGCCAGGAGGGTCTCTTAACACCTTCTTTTTCCTTCTCATCAGAGTTATTTCACAAAGACTTGCCAGGGTAAGGAAGAAGGGGGGAGCAAGCACACTTGGAGAGCGCAGTACAACAGAGAGTTGTATGTTGCGTTCGGGAAGGATGAAAAATTAACTTGAAAACCGGCTTCGGCTTCAGATTTTGATTTTGATTTTGATTTGGTCAATTAATTGATAATTGTTTGGTCCAAATTTATTTTCCTTTTCTGTCATTTAATATTTTTTTTCTAATATTTTTGGGTGGAAAAAAATTAACTTGGAAATTCGCAGCATTATTTTCCAACGATCAAATTCGCGACCAAATATTCCGGTTAACAAAAATTCAAATTTTTTGCTGAATAGATACCTTATCAGACGAACAAACACATTTGCACCTGTTGTGACTCAACTTTATTTGCTATAAATAGAGAGTCTCAGCCTTATTTTTCACCACCGAATCTGAAAATTTCTCCCCTCGTTCTCTTCTGCATTCTACATTAATTTTCAAAGAAAAACGTAAGCATTTTGTGTGATTTACTCCACCATTTGAGTTCGCCGAAGTTTTGTGATTTGAACCGCCGCTATCACAGAATAGTTGTTCCGTTCTACCTGAAAGGAATTAATCCGAAACCTTGAGCAACTGTGAGAGGATTAAATTTCTTAAGGACACACAAGAAACTTGTGGGCTCGAAATTTTCTATTTTTTTGTTTTCTTAAACTAACATCTTCAGATTTTCTAGTTTTGAATACAAAATACTAACAATATTTTTTCTATGCAGGAAAATGAAATTATTAATCGGGACAGACACAAAGGAAAATGTGTTTAGTGAATTGAAAAAACAAAAGAGTTATAAAAAGTAGAATTGCCTATTTTACGCATGTTTCTTCATTGCATCAAACATGGACAGCTCGAAGTTATTGTAATGTTCGATCATTGGGTGAGAAAATTGGAGTCTGGATACAATGATGCGAAAGATAAGAGAAATTGCTTTTGAAATTAACTTTGTAAGCACTTAATAAAAATTCAATTAGTAGATTTTAGGATTTTGACTATAAGGTTAAACCAAGGTCCAAGGTTAACGTACCCCTTTTCATATTTGATGAACGGGAATTTATGAGATATAAACTTCATGGTAATGACAAGTTTTAGATGACATGATAAACCAAAAAAAATTAAAAATTAAAAATGTGATTAGTACTGAACCATGTTTACAGAGAGATTTAATTGTTAGGTATGACACTGTGTATGATCAACCTATTATTTATTTTGCAAGTCCCAATCCAAGTCAAAGTCAATTCTCTCCCGTTTAAATCTACGTGAACCTATTTCCTTTTTAGTCCATGCCAAAAAGATGATCATTTTCCATATTTGAAAACAATTTACCTTTATGCAATGATTTATAGCCATACAATTTTTTTTTGCCACAAGTTCAAAAGTCTTTTTTTTCTTCTTAAACTTCATATCCAGTCAAATAGATTCACATAAATTGGGATGGAGGAAGTATATATATAACGAACAAGTACTTTCTAATACCATATGGGAGTATCATTCCAATAAACATCATATAAAATGGATAGGAAAAGGATGAATGAGCATCTAGAGAGTTATTTTTCCAATTTCATTTTCAATGTGGGACTCTAGAGATGAAGTCTCTCAAGAAAATTAAACGTCAAAAGTTACATTTACAATAATCACACTTCCAATGTGAGAGTACTACACTTGAAGTATCATTATTTCCACCTTTAATATTACAAACTATACAAAAATATCAAATTCTTGACATAGCAAGAGAATCAAGCAGCTAGCCCAACAGCTGATCATGACTCAAAAAAGTGTGTATATGTTTCAATCTAGTAAAGTCATACACATATATTACAATAAGAAGTTATTCAAAACGGTGAGTCCATATATAGTACTAGACCAATAATGCAGCACGAACTCTACCACAGACAAAAGCCTGGTATTAATCAAAAACAATTGTGGCTAGTTCTTATCACGGGTAACCATAAGGGCCAGGACCGTAGGGTCTGTAGCCATGGTAGACATGAGCCCTATGTCTGTAACTGTTATTAGTAAGAGCACAGCAACCAATAGAGTAAACAATAGATATAATAACGAAGATGCAAAAGCTTATGAGAGAGGAATGCTTGTAATATTTCTTGATATTGTCAAGAACAGCTTTTTTGCATGAATTGCAGTTGTAACACATCTGTTTCTGTTCATTGTTCCAAGCTTTACAGTCTGCGTCGTCTGGCACTTTTGCACCTGTTTTAGGCACGATCCATGTTGTTGCATTTTGGAACTCAAAGTTGCAGTATGTGGGTGGTTTGCAGCAACCCGACTGTATCAAAAGGAAATAATTACTATGTTCATGATAAAGTTTCAAGTATGTTAGTTAGTACTATTATTATTTATCTGATTATATTTAATGCTTATCATAGAATTGAAGGGGCTTTGACGTAACCGGTAAAGTTGATACCATGTGACTAGGAGGTCACGAGTTCAAGCCGTGGAAACAGCCTCTTGCAGAAATGCAGGGTAAGACTGCGCAGAATAGACTCTTGTGGTCCGACCCTTCCCCAGATCCCACGCATAGCGAGAGCTTAGTGCACCGGACTTATCACAAAATTAGTTTGCATGTAATTACGTTACATGTGACCTAATTGTATATATATTTGTAGTGCTAGTGCATATATATAACTTCATATAAAACTCAAATAGCTAGGACTTCCTTCTTCACGAACCACTGGCAGACAAAGGGTTTAACAGCTTATTCCAACCCAATTTTCTCTCAAGATTGAAACATAAATTGAAGTTTCCTAGTATGTAATAAATTCTTTATGATAATATTGAGATTAACAAGATTGAACTATTTCCCGATTGAAACCTTTGTCTCTAATTCAACAAGCAAGATAGTAAATTAAACCACATTGCAATAGCGGTATTCAGGGGCAGAGCCAGAGTATTGATTACGGGTTCTGCCGAATTCAGTAACGTTGATTCAAACAATGTATCTATTTTAAAAAGTTCATTGAACATGTATGAATTATTTATTTAGAAACCAATAAGTTAAAAGAATTACACTCATGAATTCATAACTTTCAAATCCCGGCTCCGCCTCCGGCGATATTGATTGGTGTGTCCCATGCATGCACTCTCATTTATGGTAATATTGAGATTTAACAGTTTTTCCTTCTAAAAGAAAATAAAAATACAATAGTAGGGTGACAAATATTGCTAATTTTGACTCATTTCTGTTTTAATCAAACGGGATAACATTTCAATGCAAAATTTACTTAAATTGCGAATGAAATCATTAGACATTGATTACATGACTTCATCTCGACCTTTTTATTTTGACTATCTTCTCAGAACCAACCGTGATGTTATACTTGGTATGCAAATATATACACATATTACAGAGATACCTCATACCATTTGGCATACTCTCATTTTTAGTCGGTCTCAAAAATTAAAGAATGTTACATTTCTACATATAAATATAATTTAAAAGTCTTGATTTCTTTCTTAAAACAATAGTGTTAAATTAAGAGAAAAGGTGAAGAACCTGAGTCGAGGACAACTTCTCTTTATAAAATTCAGCAGTTCTGTCCTTGGAAAGGTAATTACAGTATTTGACATCAATCAAACAACTCTTAATCTTTTCCCAGTCTCGATCATCAGGCAACTGCTTCTTAAACCAATGGGAGTATTCTTGAAATTGATCTTCCCATTCACCTTTAGGTTCTGGATTACTATCTAAATGTTTCAACGCGATAACGATGCAGAAAAGCTGGTAAATAATCATCCCTACGAGGAGCAAAAACAACAAAAACAAATATATCCACAACAAAAACGAGACATGACAAGATGCCCCTATAATTCCCATTAAAGAAAGTACCAAAAGGAATAACCCTAATATCAACAGAGGTTTTTGAAGAGTTTTTTGGCAAACGGTAGCATTTGAGTTCATATTAACTGATATGGCAATTAATATGAGAATTAATGAAGCTACCAACGTGAAAAAATTAAGCATTGTCATAAAACAATTGCTGCACCGAACCATTTTTATTGTTTGGTTTTTTGATGATAAAAAAAAAGACGAGAATGATATGTTATAATAGATCAGATCTCTAGAGGCTAAAATGGAAGTAAAACCCCAGAAATCTGATTAGAACTTCTTTTTTTATTTTTTATTTTTTTCTGTTTGTTTGGTGAATATGGAGTATATGGGAGATTAGGGAAAGGGTAGTTGATTTGGGGTGGAAGAGAGAAATGGACGGAATTATGAGGAGGTAAGAGAAGAAAATTTGTTAACTGAATTCCATGCATAATAATGCTCTTTAAATTTTAATTACGTACCTCTCATGTTGTACTACATATGTATGGACAGAAAATTATTATTTTTTCTCACTCATTTTTAATACTAAATTTTGATTAATTTAATGCATTTTGGAAGGATCGATAATTCGAGATAGTGTTCATGTTAGTAATTTTGGGGCTACCTGTCTACCACATAAAATAGGATCGAGATAGTGTTCAAGTACGTGTTTGATCCTTAATTTTTTTTTTTTATAACAAAAATCGTTTTTTGAACTTTACTTTTATACTTCAATATTGTATCAAGACTTGCTCCTAAGTTGTACATGTAAGTGCTATTTATGTATAAAGCTAAGGTTTTCTATTTTATGAAGTTGTACACGATATAAAATAAACAAGAACTGAATAGTATAGGAACGAATTCATTAAGAGTTTAATTAATATCACTGACAGTGTAAAAAGAATTTATACCGTCTGGTCACCTTTACATGTGGTAGTTGGTATTTTACCGCATTTTCAATATTATGGATTCTACTTTTTATGGTGAGTTACTTGATATTTTTTGTTTGGCCTTACACTATTCGTGTATATAAGTTAAACTCTACATTAAAAGGGCAAAAATGACGTAAATATTCGGCTAAACAAACTTTTTTCCAATAGAAAAAATTAAGATTAATTGATTATGCATTAACCAAACAATAAAGCCCCACGAAATCAAAAAAAATCCAACAATAATTCCAATCTCTCATACTAGCATGAAAAAAAAAAACTAAATCTACTATAGATTAAAAAAAGATCAGCAAAATAAAACTTCAATGCAATTAGCCCATTCCCATCATCTTAGAGTTAGGCATCATCTTAGCATTAGCAAAGTTCTTAGCCATATCAGGATTTTGTTCCATAAATTTCTTAAGCATATCTTGATTTGTAATCTCCTCACTTGTTGGAAGTCCCATCTGTTTTTGTCTTTGATCAAACATCATTTTTTCAACTGCTGCCCTTGTTTCAGTGTCCAAATCTGACAATTTACTTGGCTCTGGCTCAACTTTTTGTGTGTCAATTTCTAGTCCACCTTTTAACAAACACTTCCACCAATCAGATTTATTTTGCTTAGTTAAAAGAATGGAAATTTCTTTCTGATCTTCTAAACTCCAATAACATTCATCAACTTTCACTGCTTTAAAAAATTCACCATTTATTATTAATGGTTGACCTTTTAGTCCAACTTTGAGGGTAGTGTTCTTGATTTCAACAATTATGAATCTTGATTTTGTGCCAAAAGGAATTGGGACGTTGATCGTAACTTCTTGAAGAGATTGACCCCATGAATAATTCTCCATGTCTAGGCCATTGGACTTGTTTGGCTTTAACTTCTTGTTTTCTTCTTCTTTTGGGGTTGAAAAAGAATTTTCTTCTTCTTTTGGGGTTGAAGGAGAAGAATTTTCTTGTTTTTTCTCTATAGGCTTCATAGGCTGTTCTTGATTTTCTTCTGTGTAATCTGAGAGAATTGCCATTGATGAAGGAGAAGGAGGAGGAAGTATGTGTTTTGATGTGAGAATTTAGGAGAAGAATTAGGCGTATATATAGAGAGATAAAAGCCTCTTAATTGGGAATTAGAATCCTTAATGAAGTGGGAAACCCCCTAAAACCATAAACCGACTCATGATTGCTTTCCTAATTTAATTTTCGTTTATTAAAGTTAGTTTGCTATTTTAGTTTTTAGTATCTACGGGTTCGTGGGTCGGTACGGTAGGTTATTTACATATTCGGTTTGGTATTTGATTTCTTAAAATGACATATCAATACTATACCTAATTAAATTCGGTATGGTTCGATTTTTCTCCTATCGGTTTCTTTTTAGTCGGTCTCATAATTAATTTCAGTTTGTTTGGCTCTAGTACTAACTAGTGCATAAAGCCATAGACTGTAATATTTTTAAGTAAGATACTCACAAATTCAAAAAAAGAAAATGTTATAATACAGTGAAAAAATAAATTGCAACAAAAAAATGCTAAACCTAAGAGGGGGAAAGGTTGATCTTCGTCGGTTGGTACGGTAGGTTATTTAAATATTTCGGTCCGGTATTTTCGATATTTGATTTCTTAAAATAACATATCAATAACATACCTAATTAAATTCGCTATGACTCGATTTTTCTCCCTTCGATTTCTTTTTAGTCAGTCTGGTAATTAACTTCACTTTGTTTGGCTTTAGTACTAACTAATGCATAGAATCATAGATTGTAATATTCTTAAGTAAGGTACTCAAAAACTCAAAAAATAAAAATGTTATAGTACAGTGAAAAAAAATTGAAAAAAAAAAATTGTTAAACCTAAAAGGGGGAAAGGTCGATAAGTGGGTAACCAAACAAGGGGGGAAATGTAAGTATAGTATTTTTAAAAAAAGGCGGGAAAGGTTAAAAAAATCCTAAGAATAGGGAAAGTAGAATTTTAGAATTTTTATATTTATATTATAATCAATACTATGTGTATTGTCTAATTTAGTATATATTTTGGTACGATATCGATATTTTAATATTTTATTTTTAAATACCTAATACTAATATCTTTTAAAACTTAAACAAAATCCATACCAAATACTAAAATACTGAATTATATCAAATACCAAATATTTTAGGTTTCATTATGGTAATTCGATATTTACGCACAATCCTACTAATATCTCGGTATTTTATCATCCTTATTTTTTTTTTCCAGTTAAGAGCTAATTAACTGATTTAATGGAAAATTTATTTTACTTTTTGATGAAAGGACTATGTCTTTTAATATTTCACATTCCACTCACTTGTACGTTGGTGCACTATGTCTTTCTTTCTCTACTTCTAAATTCATCCTGTTATGCTTACTCAGATTGCACTTGCGTCGCTTAGTTCTCGAATGTTTGCAAAATATAGCAGTTTAGGCCAAACCATGTATTTATATTAAAAAATCTAAATCATTAAATATGTATAAAAATTAAATTTAAAACACAATTACCAATAATTAAATTCATGTCCTAAAACTCAGAACAATCCTAGCTCCACATCTGTCCTTAGTAGTGCTGGTAAACTCACCACCTTTCTCCAGCTAGTATATTTTATTAACCTTAATTAATGTTAAATTACCTTCAACTAGTTTCGCATTAATTATTCCAGGTAAAGCAGAATAAATAATATAAGCAGAGGCAAGGTAACTGATACTCTTTCCTCTTGATTGAGAAAGCTGCAGAAGGAAGGAGGTAGAACAATAATTCAAGTGTACCTGTCGTAACACTCAGTGATGTATCTAGGATTTAAATTTGATGAATTCGACCTCTAAAATTCTTTAGCGTTAAATTCATTTGTACTTTTAAAAATAAATATAGACCTAATAATCATTCAAATTCTAATGGATTTTTACATATGTATATATTTATATATGTTTCGGATCGAAAATATTGAGCTCGAATGTAGATGATGATACATTGAGAGAAGCAGTACGCACAAGTTCCCTTTCAAGTCGATGGCCATACCTTTGGATGCATGTCACACGTCTAAACTTTGATGTAATCTCAAAGTTTCCGTATAAGATGTGGACAACGAAATTATCAAAAATTAATAACGATTTTTTTCTTTTTTCTTTTACTATAATAACAAAATTATTAAAAATTAATTGTAATTTCCATTCCGAAGGTAAGATCTTAGTTTACTCCTTGTCCTAAATATTAGGACTTCCTAAATTATACAAATAAGGAAAGATTTTATAATCAAAATTTTAGTTGTGTTTAAATTACTAAATATTAGGAGAATTGAATTACGATTTTGTCCAATATGAACCTTATTTTTAAAAGGTAAAAAAGGGTATTTCATTAATGGACTTTGTATTTTTAATATAGTATAGATAGATAGATACTCGATGCATCGCTAATTTGACAGAGTCATAGTTTTGATGACCGGTACCGTTGCCTACTTTTGTACTCCTTGTAAGAGTAGATATAGATCCAATAAGTTATTTTAATAAAACAGGTAAGTTTAACTACTGATTGATTAAAGTTGTGACGCTTCTTTCTGTGAGAATATGAGGGAGTACGACAGCTGGACAAGTTAGTGGGCAAGTATGACAGTGGGCAGTTAGCTAGCTGTCACCAGTTAGTTAGAGTAGTTAAAGTAGTTGGCATTAGTTAATTGGGGATTAAGTTAGTAGGGTGATCATGTATATATATGTGATGTATATCAGATTTTATAATTACATTTTCAATATACTAGAAAGTTCCTCACTAACTATTCTCTCTTTGGTGTTCATCTTCTTCTCTCAAACTCAACTTACTCGTTTGGGCCTCCATTAATGGAGGATGAGCTGTGACTGAAATCAGCTCAACTCACTTGGTATCAGAGCGATCGATACTGGTTGTTTCTTAGCTGAGTAAATTTGTGTTTGTGTGATACAAATTCTCGCTCAAGTTCAGTAATGGTAGACGAGAAAATTGACCATACTCATCCTCTGTTTCTGCACCCTTCTGATACACCAAGCTCAGTTTTGATTCCAATTCAACTCACTGGGTCTGAAAACTATGGATTATGGCGTAGGACGATACGAATTGCTCTTCAAGTTAAGCGAAAGCTAGGGTTTGTAACTGGTACATGCAAGAAGGAGACCTTTAAGAAGGAATTACATGAGGAATGAGAGACATGCAATGTGATTGTGCTCTCATGGATCCTGAACACTGTATCAACAAACCTCGTCAGTGGAATAGCTTATGCATCAGATGTGCACCTAGTTTGGGAAGACTTGAAGGAGAGATTTGATAAGGGCAATCGAGTTCGAATTTTTCAATTGCATAGGGAAATCGCAACGATTTCTCAAGGAACTGATTATGTTGATTCATATTTCATGAGACTGAAGGAAATGCGGTTGGCGTATGATGCTTTAGTTCCCACGCCAGGTTGTGATTATGCTAAATCAAAGGACTACATTGAACACCTTCATCGTCAAAGGCTGCTTCAATTTCTCAGTGGTCTGAATGAGACCTATGAGCAGGCAAGGAGGCAGATTCTGATGAAAACCTTTTAACCAACCTTGAACCAAGCTTATGCGTTGATAATTAAGGATGAAACCAAAGATCAAGTCCATATCCAGCCTTAGGAGCTAGAAAAGATCCTATTGCTATGCAAGTTAGACGAGGACAAGGCTACAAAGAGAAGAAGCCATTCATGAAATGTGACTACTGTAAGATGAATGGACACTTGAAAGAAAATTGCTACAAGTTGATAGGCTACCCTACAGATTTTAATGCTAAAAGGAAGGTTGTGGCCAATTGTGCAACTGGTAATGCTGGGCATGAGGAACATGCACACATGGCTGGAGGAAGAGCACATAATGATGGTCCTGCAGGAGGGCACTTCTTCACTGAGAATCAATATAGACAAATCCTGGATATGCTGAATAAAGATATCACAGTTCCACAAGTCAATATGGCAGGTATTACTAATGCACTAATGACTGATAAACCTAGTAAAGAATGGATAGTTAATTCTGGTGCGACTCATCACATAGCTGCTTCCCTAGATATACTACACTCTAAGACTGAGTTGAAAACTGGTAGAGATCAAGTTCATTTACCTACTGGTGAGAAGACAAATATATCTCACATTGGTAGTGCAATATTTCTTAAGGACATGGAGATTAAGAATATTTTATATGTTCCTGACTTCAAATTCAATTTTTTATTTGTGTCAAAGTTCAAAAGAACCAGTTGCTATGTTCACCTCTATCCTGACTTCTGTGTATTTTAGGACCTTTGGAGTGGCAGGGTGAGGGGAATTGGTAAGGAAAGTGGAAGCCTGTATGTGGTGAAGGATGAGCACATTGCTAGAAGTTTGAGGCAAGCATCGGTTGCAGCAGTCCAGAAACTAGAAGTAGATGGCATTCTTTGGCATAAAAGATTAGGTCACACCTCTGTTAGTACAATGAAAAATATAGACTCCTTACAACTTAAAGATCTTGATGTGAATAAAAAATTTTCTGTCTGTCCCTTAAATAAGCAAAGTAGACTAGTTTTTCTAGTAGTGTTACAAGAAGTAGTAATCCTTTAATGCTTTTACACATGGATATTTGGGGACCATACAAGTTTCCCACACATGATAGAAAACATTACTTTCTAACAGTTGTGGATGATCATTCTAGGTATACTTGGGTACATTTACTATCGTTGAAAAGTGATGTAATTGTTGTGTTACAAAAGTTTCTCTCTATGCTAAGAACACAATTTGGTGTAGCAATTAAGACTGTTAGAACTGATAATGTAGGAGAGTTTTTTAGTAAACAGTGCATTGAATTACTTGAACACTATGGTATTATACATCAAAGTAGCTGTGCATATTCCCCAACAAAATGGGGTAGTTGAGAGAAAATATAGACATATATTAGATACAACAATGGCCCTAAATTGCAGGCAAATGTACCAACTAAGTACTGGGGAGAATGTATTACTACTGCTGTTTACATTATAAACAGGCTGCGTTCTATCATTCTGCAAGGCAAATCACCATATGAACTCCT